ATAAGTTTGGCAATAAAATTTTATATATTAAAATGTTCAATGTCCTTGTATGTCCTTGTCCTTGTACTATTTAAAAAGTACTTAAAGGGACACTGTCAATGGATGACATGCGCAGTAACAGTCTCACCTCTAASAGACTTTGAAAGTATAACCTTYGAGGTAAATCATTTTGTGGTGCTTTTGACATACTTTGGAATATTCTAGATAAGCGCCCCTGTTTACGTTTACGATCTGATTTATGTCGCGCCAACTTGGAGTCATAARCTTGAAAACACTAGCCTAGTGTTTTCAAGYTTRCTHGCGCATGTCATCCATTGACAGTGTCCCTTTAACAAGTTGTTATGAAAGGCTGTGGCATAGCAGGTTGCTGTTTATATATCGACAGGAAGCGAGTTCCATAATTTAGGTACTGTTACAGAAAAGGATCTTCCTCCTTCAGATTCCAATCTATAGCCAGGGCATATGTAATTAATGTGACTCAAGCGACCAGAAGATCTTGACTGGCGCTCTTTATTTGTTTTTAACATTTCACTGATATAGTACGTCTAGTACGGCCAATTGAATATTTTTTTAACGAATGTCTTCCAAAAAGGTGATCCTTAAAATTGGTTAATCAGATAAAGTTTCTTTTCAAAATCACATTACTGTTGAAAATGCTAGCTAACACTTCAATCTCAGTATTTCTAGTCTTCAAAGTAAAGGTTTGGCTTCTTATCAATATAGCTCTGGAAAATGCAATGGATGTTTTGAGTTAAGTGATACAATGATGCTATCTCTGAAGAAAAAGCTTCCGTGGCTTTGCTAGATTTAACATGTGTTCGAACATAAATGGTGTCCCCTATATTTCCAGAGTTATTGCCTCAGATTTYGACATGTCTATAGGATTAAAACTTTAAGGTGACATCATCTCCAATAAGAAAGAAAGGCGCCCAGTACATCGGCTCACTATACCTGCCATTCGATTCTCTCAGCTCCTTCATACTTTGATGCAAACTTGTACTCGCACTCTTCCCACTCTTCAAATGGAAATAAAACCTAGACATAAAGAGCAAGGTAGCTTGATCATCGATGGCCCACAAAGAGGCTACAACAGCTTGAGCTCCAGCYGCAAGAAATGCTCGACTCAGCCCCATGAGTCCGTCGGCTTTCACCTCGCCGCGACCACTATGACAACAGCTTAGGACTACGAGTCGAGCTCGAATACCGCGCTGCTGTGCTTCATTGGTTGTCAATACAAAGTCCTTTTCGTCTGGGATCCTTTCCCCTGCTGCTGCCGACGGTGATGGGGCAAGGAGAATCTGCCCCTTTTCGCTACCATGTGCAGCAAAGTGAATGACAGATACGCCCTCCTCTAGCTTCTGTAAAATGGTCTCCTTGGTAGCTTCTGACCCCGTTATTGGCTTGACTTTAAGAATTTCACCGATTCTTTCGGCTTCTTTTCTGGCACCAGGTAACGGGGTAAACGATTCTTCCTTGCCTCTAAAAATTACTCGTCCAACATTCGGATCTCCAACAATTAAAGCGCCTGACCTGCAGTGAAATTCGTCCGGGCTGTCTTGTAGAGTTCTGAGCGTCGACAAGGATGGTGCCAAACGAATTTGCTTCGTTTCTGAAAGAAACCTTCCCGTCTTTGGATTTTTGAGTGATGCAAACGGAATTGAAAACATAGGTCCGTCTGGAATTATGAGGATCTCATCTTCACCGAAAGCATTCTCTATTGGAGCTACTAATAAATCATATAGCAGCTCCAAAGGATTTTCAACTTCTTCCTCCAGTTCAGAATCTTCTTCATAGGTGTTCCTTAAGTTTTCATTCGTCTCACACTTTCCTAATGGGAACCCACCAGCCAGTTCTTCCATCATATCATCGTCATCATGATCTTGACCAGTCGATCTGTCCTCACAGATGGTAGCTCCTCTAGCACCTATCTTGTAATAAGAGGTTTTGACGAGGTCGACAATCTCTCGGTCTTTTCCAGACAGGCCACTTTGAAGAGAAAATAACAGCCGATCGTGAGACAAAATCCAAATTGCGCGATTGCTTTGTATTTGTGCATAAAATACAACGGTAAATTTGGTATTCAAAAAGACACTTTCAAGATCAGCCAATGCAAGTGGGGTACTTGGTTTTAACTGTTCTTTTACTCCGTATTTCGTGTGCAGAAGATCTCCCAAGGCACGGGCTCGACCACGCTCAGATACGAGTAACGCTTCTGCAGGATCTTGGTTTTCCAAGMACACTATAGTCAAGAGCTTGTACACTTTATGAAATTTTTCGAGGAGGGTTAACTTGAATTCATCCTGTTCTTCTAAGTGATCGAACATCCACTCATAGCACTCCAGGCTTTCTTTTAGATGATGCTCAGACTGTTTCATATAGCCTGTGGCAGCGTYTTGATCTTGCTTTTGCCTAGAAACAACACCAAACCTGTAGTACAGCTGWCCAATACTGAAATGTGCTGATGCTTGCCCCCTCTTCGTTCCTACTTCGTTAGAGAGTTTCAAATCCTTTTCATGATATTCCAGAGCTTTTTGGTAGTCACCCAATAACTGATAGACATTCCCAAGACTCCCATACGCTGCTGCCTCGCCAATTTTGTCACCTAGCTCGAGCGCTATGGCAAGTCTTTTTTCTTGAAATTGTATGCCTTCTTGGTATTTCTTCAAAGCACAATACGCAGTACCCAAATTTCCATAAGCGTACCCTTCGCCATTTCTGTCACCATTTCCCTTTGCAATGTTAAGGCGCTTGTTATGATATTCAATAGCTTCGTTAAACTTCCCCAGATCGTAATAGGCAATTCCTATGTTTCCATAGGTTTGTCCCTCTCCATCCTTGTCCCCAATTTCAAGAGCGACATCCAGTCTCTTTTGATGATAATGAATGCCCTTTTCGCATTCTCCCAAAGCCCTATAGCTCTCTCCTAAATTACCGTAGGTCTTCGCTTCACCAGATTTGTCACCCATCTCAATTTGTATTTCCAAAGACTTTTTAAAGTACTTTATTGCATCGTAATACCGCCCTATGAGATTGCATAGATTTCCTATGTTTACGTAAGTGTCACCCTCACCCTCTTTATCAGCGATTTCTGCAGTTATCCCCAACCGCTTTTCTTGATAAACCATTGCCTCGTCGATGCGCCCCAAGGACTGGTAGACATTTCCTAAGTTTCCATAAGCATTTCCTTCTCCCAATCGGTCACCCAGCTCTACAGCTCTACTGAGGTGTTTCTCATGATTTTCAATCGCCTCAGAATACTTCCCAAGAGAGTCATAAGCCAATCCCAGCATTCCATAAGCCCTTCCTTCTCCAACTCTGTCACGGATGTCCACAGCGGTGCACAGCTGTTTTTGGAAATATTCCAACGCTTTATGATGATTCCCGAGGGACTTGTACGAAATTCCAAGGTTACCATAGGCAATTTCTTGTCCATGCTTATCCTTGTTGTACAGTGCGATATCTAAATGCTTTTGATGATATTCGATTGCGTTGGAGTATTCTGCTAGCTTGTTGTAAACGTTTCCTAATTTTCCATATATTGCTCCCTCCAACTGTTTGTAACCAATCTCTATAGCAATAGTTAGGCTCATTTTCTGATAATGCATTGCTTTGTTGTAACTTGCTAACAGAAAGGAAGCATTTCCTAAGTTCGTGTAGGCTATTGCTTGTCCATTTCTATTTTCTATCTCTAAAGCAATTTTCAGCTGCTTTTCGTAGCATTCAATTGCTTTTTCAAGCTGTCCCAAGTTCTCATAACAGTTGCCTATGCTTCCGTAAGCACCTTCTTCTAATTCTCTGTCACGTAACTCCAGTGCTATGTGCAAGCGCTTTTCTTGCCATTCTATCCCCTCTGTATACTTTCCGAACATATGACAAGCGTTACCCAGGTTACCATAGGCCATTGCTTCCCACAACTTATTACCAATTTCCAAAGCAATATTTAAATGTTTTTCATGATATGAAAGTGCTTCGTGATATTTCCCTTGTGAGGCGAATGCATGGCCTAAGTTTTCATAAGCCTCTCCTTCTCCCACTTTATTGCCACCTTCTAAAGCAGCACTCAGGCAGGTTTCATAATAGCGAACATTGTCATTGTTTGCATCCATGTTGTTGGAATTGAACTTTGCTTTCAAAATATATCGGAAACTTCGTCTTTGAATTTAAACTCTAAGTTCTTCAACTCTAAATTCAGTTCGCTGAAAATGCAAATTGCAAGGTATCAAGCATTCATCAACACGGTCTACGGCGATCGTCGAAGGGAGATTGCACGATCAAAAACGATTATGTTTTAATACGCTGTTTGACATATCATTTGTTGGGTTCACGTTGACTAAATAGAGCCATTGTTTATCATGCAGTTATTATTTACCATCAATTAGGAAACCCACGCCTCCTTTCGGTCGTGCACTGAATCGCCATTCGTCATTATCAGGAGGTGCACTGGAAAAAATCGCGCGCTTTAAAGGTTGTAAATTTGATGTAAATGATTTCCATTAAATTTACAGAATTTTGGACAATTACATCATATTTACATCAAATTTACAACCTTTAATGCGCGCGATTTTTTCCAGTGGTGGGGTGGGGGTTGGGGGACAATCTAATGTTATGTGCTTAAAGAGCACTTATTGAAACCTTTACTGAAATAGGTATTGATACACAGAAAACGTTGAATACTGCAGTTGAATCCCGCATATAAGAACCTAGAAATCAAGAATCTGTTAGCCTAAAATTTGGATTTAATACCCCCTATGGACAAGAACCTATTTAGCATTAAATTGAAAACAGGATCTTAATTTTTAAAATCATATTTGTCATAATACAGATGCAGAGAAAGATTCCCATTTTGAAGAAAAAGCAGATTCTGACATTACTTCAAAATGAGTTATTTTATAACAAAAAAAAAGAGTGCAAGATATTGTTTACTTTTTTATAATTAGTACTTATAATTAGTATTTATTAATTAGTACTGCTTTAAAAATGAATGTATTTTGTGGGGTCGGGGTCAGGAAACAGGAAATAGGCAAATAAGGTCACCATCTTTTTTTGAAGCTAAGTTTTATTTGCTTTACTCTAGAATTAAGAGCCTATTTTAAGAACCTAAATAGCCTATAAAATTGTGTTAACTACCATTTATATAAGAAGCTGTCTAGTCTACTTCCAAAAAATGTAGGTTCTTATATGCGGGTTTCTACTGTACTGACTCAATAATGAATATTGTATACTCTCACTTTTGCTTTTAAAGTTCGTGTTTGCTGTGCTACAAAGTTTCACTTCTAAATTTAATAGCCCTTTTCGCGGCTAGGAAACAAGTTGCTCCAGGAGCCTGTAGTTTTGCACCAAAGCGATCAGGCAAAATCGGGTAACAAATCAAAAATTGTCCTTTTTGAGCTTTGTTTACCGTTCGCAGTGTAAGGAAAATAACTTTTATCGGTATAAAGTCATACTTTTGACATAACTTGGTACTCTAGTTGTTTTGAGGCCTGCAGCAAACTTATGTTGGCCGCTTTGTTTTTAACCGCGAAAAGGTCTATTGCTTGCTTTTCAATGATGAGCGCTTTGATGTATACGAAGAATAAAGTTTCCGTTCCAGCGCCTCGTTTCTTATGTAAATTGGAAAAGTAATTTTAAACTCGTCTTTTGCGAATGTTTCAAAGACATTTCTTAAAGCCAATCTATTAATTATTAAGATAACATATTTTAATACAAGGTTTTTGTAAGCTTTTGCGATGTCATTTTGACCTCTGAAAACGCTTAAAAGTGCATGTATGAAGTTCCGCTTCCGCGCACAAAATAATGATATTAATTTTATTGTGTCAAACTATTTTATATAACATTATTGTAATGCTGGAACTGAAAATAAATATCTCGCCCTACTTACAGATGGCCCAAGTCCTTGAGCTTAGTTAATTCCAATAATCATCGGTGCTTTTCGTAGAACTTCAAGTCAAATTGTCAGCAAAAGTTTGGCAAACGAATGAATTTTTCTCTGAGGCAATTGTTTGATATGGTTGAGAAACAGCCTACACTGAAAGATCCTGTCGAAAGCAATTTCAATTAGAGACTTAAAGCAGATTAGACCGACAGGTAGAGAGACTGCTAATGAACTGGTTGATCATAAAGATTGAATCATCTTTGCGGTACATAGACACAAAAGAAAACAACACTCGATCCTCAGTCCATGGTAGATTTGCAAGGTTGTATATTAGACCAAAGCTAGTTGTTTCATATCTATATTTCATAATAAACCTCATTACACTTTATTGGATATAAAGAACTTAACTGGAAATTAGTGGTATTTTTTAAAGAAATGAATATTCTCTTACCTGAATTTTCGATCAAACCGAGTCAAAACATTCCACGCAAACTTGACCAATCACACGCACAGGAACTCCAAGCTCAAGATTTTTTGCTCTCAAAAAAATTTGCATATGGACTTAATTAGGTAAATTAATGAGGTTTGGGAAGCTTCAAGAATTTGCAAAATAGCACAGCTATCTAAATGGGATCTGTGATCCGGGAGACGGGAGGGCTAGGGTGGCTATGCCCCCCACCCCAACTTTTTCATTCCGAAAATAAAAATCAATTAAGAAATCAACGCGAAGTATACTCCTATTGAATCGTTGTTGTTTTATTTTGTTTTGTTTTTGTCTTAATGATAAAATACTTAGATCGCTTTTTTATGTTAGTAGCCTCCCCGCTAAAAAAACGCTCCGACGGCCCTGGTGATAGACTGGATAATAGTTTCTAAATACATAAGTTTAGTTGCAATTTTGAAATATTATAATTTATTTGATAAACCGAAAATAGTCTAAAAATATCATCTACATTTTAAATTAAAACACAAACTTTGGATCTAGTTCTCTTAATCTGATCTAACTCTCCTTTCATCYTCAACTCTTGAGTTCTYAATAAATCAATCTCMGCAGTCAAATTTTCCTCTTTTTCTTGCCACTTTTCWATCTTTTCTTGATGTTGGTTTTYTATATACCTCTTTTGTTTGACAAGTTCCTCAATTTCATGTTGTTTTCTTTGGTTTTCTTGTAGCAGAAGKTTTCTTTCTAAGTAATAGGTTTGCCCCAAATTTTGYTTACTCCATTCYAGTATTTGACTTGCTTTCAAAGGACCCTGAATACTCCCATCTCTTCTTACATACACCTCACCTCTGCTATTCTCATACAAGCTTAGTTCACCAGTAGGGCAATAAGGTGGGTGCACTTCAACTTCAATCACTTTTAAATTATTTTTTACATGATTTTCATCTGTTTCAAGTTTTGTACAGGTGAAAYGTAGATCCTCTAGTGGAGCYGCASTGTCTTTTTGAKTTTTATCTGACTTTTCATTGAGAGGAAAACTATTGCATTYAGTATTGGGAAATTCTGTAATTATTTCTGTGGCTTTTGATGTACTCAGATTCAGGGGYGGAAGCCTTTTAGATTTGATTTCTAGGCTTGTTTCTGTAGAGTTATCACTCTCGCCATTATAAACAGAGTCTGAAACTGCATTTACTCCTAGAATATCTACAGCAGAAGAGCCCTTAGTTTCTACTAGTTGTCCAGCTTGGGATTTTAGTGYTAGTGGGCATGGATAAACTGGAACAAAGTTGACTTTGTACAAGTTTGTGAAGACATGAGGATKGAAACCCTTCATGGTTTTATCAATTTCCAATCTTAGTTGATCTTCACGTTGGGATGATATCTCAACACCGCAAACTGTGCAGTCATCTTTAACACCAACAAGCAATGTTCCACCTATACAAGAAAAGAAATAAATTGAGTGATTGCACTTAAACTGTGTAACTGTAAAAAAACTAAGTAGTACTAATTTGTACTTAAAAGTGGCCCAGAAGCAATTTTAATCAATTCAATTTGTGTACTGCATGAACAGTTGACTTTGTGTACCACATGCAAAGTTTACTAAATACAACTAAATAGCACCATTTAGTTTGTAAAGTTGCATGATCAAAAGTTTGAGTGCAAAAACTGAAACCATAAAAACTTAAGTTATAGGCAATGTGCAGTGACACCATTTTGCACCAAAAAGTAAAGTACTGAGACCACTTTAACAATCAAAGTAATCTCTTTGTACTGTTCTGGTTCAGGGATAGTGTCTAAATTAGGTACTAAGTATTTAGTTTCTATTTCATGGTTCAAGTGACTCTGCTCTATTATGCCCTCTTGCACAAAATGACTTTACTTTAGAGCAAAAAATGTACAAACTAAGTAGTTCTATTTAGTTGTATTTAGTAAATTGTGCATGTGGTATCCAAATTAAATTGAACTGATACATTAATGAAACCTTCAATATAATGCCCTCTCGCACAAAATGACATCACTTTAGAGCGATC